ACAGGACATGGAGAGTTTGTGTATTCTGGCGAGGGATAATGTTATCCTCGAGTGGATTTTATAAAACTTGTAAACAGACTGAAAGTGCACCTGTTATTTTTGAATGTTTAGGTACAAAGCGTGTGCTACTACACTACTTTTGAAGAAAGATAAGAGACTGTTTGCAGTCTGGTAATTTTTATCAAATGCACTCCTTGCGTCATTTTCTAGAACAGATCAACACCTTTGAGTGTTTTGCTAAAAACTTGGAAGACCAGGGATAGATGATGGCGGAGGTAAAATTATTTGATGAAAAAATACAAATATAGACAGAAAAATGTTGTAGTAACCAGAATAAACCTTTAAGAAATTTCTATCTTTTTGCCAATGAACGAGTGTATTTTCCACTGTCTTAGAATGCACTTCATGTATCTTGCTACGAGTAACACGAAATGAACTTGGCGTTTCTTTCTGATGACGTCACGTCAGCTGCGCTCTAATCGGCAAAAGCATTGATAAAGCCGCGTCAAGGAATTTGTGCTGCAATATTTAGATCATCGGTTACCTAGCAAAGCAGAGGCACCTGCAGATATTGCACGTTATAAAAGCGATATATAAATAACGTTACGCTTTAAATTGTTGTAATTATTTAGCTAAAATAGTTATTAAAAATAAAGTATAAGTCAGACTTTCCTACTTTTTTCTTCTTTAACTAACGGTGCTTTCCAAAAGTCAGAACTGGCTGGCCGGACCATGGCCGGACCAAACATTTTGGCAATGAAATAGGCTTTTTCCAAGACGTTTTGCTGAAAAACCATCTCCTTTGTACATAATATTTAGGTTTTGAATGATCTGGATAGATAGTTTTGATTAAAAGTGAAATTTTTATTACGATGGGAATGGGCTGGCCTGTTGGTTCTGACAAACTGAAAGCGCCCTAAGTAACCCTTTTTATCCTTCGGGAGTTAGGATCGGGGAGGTTGGGTTGGACAGCTAGGATAAGATACCTCGTATTCGACATTAGAAGTGGCCTAAAGCCGGGGGAGGTACTCCCTTAAATCCGACACATAGGTATGCGCCGCCCCAAAGGGTAGGGTTCTTGCGCCGTTTTGGTCTGAAAACGGGTATACTCTTTGTAGCATTCCGTTTGTAGGATTCCAGATTCCTTGAGCTGTATTCCAGATTCCAAAGCCCGGGATTCATGATTTCACAAGTTTGGGGTAAGGGAGGGGATGGTCTGGTCTGGTTTTAGAGGAGATTTTTTGCCTCTTTGGAATAACTGTAAATGCTGGAAAGAAACGTAACTGACGTCCGAATTTGTTATCGAATGGGCCATTTAGTCATTAAGTGATGCGTTATATAGCGCACATAGAAATACTTTAAAGTGTACTTTTATGAAAGCAAATTTCAGCGTAATGAGCGAGCGGTCAATATTCGCATCTTATGACGTCATGATGCCCGTACAGAAATTTTTGGCGGGAAACAGTGATATTGTTAGATGGGCAGTTAGATGCGCTCTCTTCATTGCTCTGTGACCTCGAAGTTGCCAGTGAGCGAGCTGTTGAAGAAAAACACGTCAGCTATATAAAACGATCATTTTGCGCAACTTAGAAAATGCTGAGAACAGCTTCTAACTTTACATTAATGCGGAAGTTTAAGACCAAATTTTTCAGTAAATTTATTTTCATTTTTATCACCGTTTTAGATAAACAATTTGAAAAGATTTAGAGCTGGGCACGACATGAGGTGCTAAGAGAATTCCTGGCAGTACTGATTCACACGACCTAGCTGCCACTGTTTTGGTTATTCCTGCTCTCGGCTGCTTTTTCCCACGATGATAACTTTGTTATTATTGTTTTCTTCCAATGCCCCCATTATCAAAGCTGATGAGATAACCGAGTTTAAGAAAAATAACAAATGTCTATTTGTAAAAAGCTGAAAATCTGCAGAGTCATAAAAAAATGATGTTTTAGGTCCCTTTGCTGCTTATCACTATTATTTTTTTCGAAGACAAAACTACAGTAAGATTTTATTAGCCCAAAGACGGAACCCTCAATTCCAAGTTTGTACGTGCAGACAATTAATTACCATTGTTACACTGTTGTTACTTACTTATAATAACCTTTTATTAAGAGACAACCTGTATCTATCAAGTATTTTAACATCTGTAGAAATCCACTTTTCTTGTTTTTCCATACCAAGCCAGATGTTGTAAGCAAAAAAATCCCAACTTTATATAAGTATTTTTTCAAGGGATTTATCCATGGTTGTTCAGTTAGAGGTTTTTAATGTTGCGACTTTTCTTTGAATGGGCTTGGCCTGTTTAAAAATTCCTTAAACGTGAGCACGTAAATTGGCTGATAACTTCAAGTAGGCTTTGTATATCAATGTCGTTGTTTTATGGACATTTACGCCACATAACTATGGTCGTTGATAGAGTGGTTGAGTTGGCATTTCAGTGCTAATCGTGTCTAGCATAGATATTTAATACCACAAAACAAGACATCTGATTCTTGTTATTCTAACTTCTTTCAGTAAATAACTCAGATACATTACGCTGATAGCGTTTTTGACCAATCACGACCAAAAAGCCAACTAAAGTTTTGTAAACACAGATTATACGATTAACACTCCATGAGACCACGATAATTGACACAATTATCTTAAATTCAGACCTCCTTGTTAGCGGAGAAGTTATAACGAGAACATTAAAAAGCATTGCGGAATTTAACAGTTTTCAGGTTGCTTTGCCCAGGCTTGGGCGTGCGATAAAAATGCTTCAACAGTTTACCACCAATAGCTTCGAGCTCTATTTAAGAACATGGCCAAGATCGTCGGCGTTTAGAAGACCAGAACGGCATGAGAAAGCCCCAGCAACGAAAAGTTTCATGATCGATGATATTTTGAAGAGGGTGGAACCGGCAAAAAAGAGCAAGGAATATAGTGAGCTCTGTAAGTAAATCGAAGTCTTGTCTAGTTACAACTTTTCAGACTCCAAGTTACTTCGTGTCCCGTTTTAAGTTGTTTGTAAGTGTTGCGTGGCAAATCGTAAAGAAGTGAATGATGCACATTAGCCGGCTTTAGTGTTTTATCGCCGAGATTCATTTGCTGATTTGGTTTCTTTTTGAATGGAGTTACACGATTTTTGTCGTTTGCTTGTAACATGTTGAAAATTAAGCCGTTTTATTGTTTGGCAACAAATTTGTTAAACTGCCGACGTCTTCTTGTTCAATTCACAAATCGACGTCATTTAATAAAATTTGCTGTGGTTGCCGACCCACTTAGCAAACAGGAAAAACGACAAGCAACACAGGAAAGTATCCTGAATCCTTCAATTAAGAGGTTTCACTTCAAAATATGGAAGTTCAAGATTATAAGGGTAAGAGAAAACAAAATGCCACCCTTTTGGAAGTCAGTTGGTTGCAATCAAGTTGGTAAATTTAGTCTAGAGAAGACAAGGCGGGGTTACGGCTTTAAAACAGTCTATAGTGCCACCAACATTGAGTTATAGTGAACTTGAAATTCCAACGAAAGTGTTTTTATCAGTGGAAATTTCCTATAAAGATTAGTCTGGCCTTGCGTTGAGTTACCAATACATCAAAATTGTTACAAGCCGTGTCGTTGTCTAAGGACGGCCATTGTCATTGTATTTGAGAAAAATGGATTGTCGCTATTTCTGTTAATAACTCCTTGGTTCTCGCTCTTGAAAGCAGGTATAGCGAAACCATAAGTGAATCCCGCAGAACAAATCATGCCACTCCGGGAAAAACGTTTTCAGAACTCAGTTATAGAGTTGCAAGTTAGGCGGGTGGAAGGTAGCGGGGAACAGAGGCAGCAAACGATGAAGTTCGAGGATCCATTGTGTTTCAAAACTCTTTATGAAAACATCATCATCTTTTTCAAGTCACACCTACCTCGAAAACTTCTTCTGGCGAACTGTTTATCAGCTTCAAAGTATTTCTAATAAAATTATTCCTTGACGGAAGTCTATGAATAAAATTTTCAACCTATCGTACAAGAATTTAATGTAAGAATTTTAATTTTCGCAGCATACATCTGGAGTGGTCACATGCCAACTTTTTCTCTATATCAAGCTAATATGGACAAGCTAGACGCCTGTAAGTATAAACCTCACGCTTTGACTTTTTTAGGGAAGAGTGAAAATCCCGGGGTGGGGGGTACTCCCTTATATAAGCCTTATATGTATGTGCCGCCCCAAAGGGGAGGGTTCTTGGGTCGTTTTGGTCTGAAAACGGGTAAAGACTTTGCCCACTTGGGTCTGGAATCGGGTACGGTTCTCGAGGGAACTTGTAGGAGTGCATGAACGTGTTCATCGTTTCAGTTCCACGGAGGTAGAAAGAAAGAGATATATATGAGAACGTGAAATCTTTTCCGTTCTTGTTCTAATCAAGGCAATGATGAAATAATTCCTTAGACGCCAAGTCTGAAAACAGGTGTGGATTTTAGAGGCCAGGTCTGAAGAGGGGTGTGAAAAATTACATTTTTTGGTCTGAAATAGGGTCAAGATTTGGAGAACCGGGTTGCACACCCCACCAATAATTCCCAGGAGTGCCTCCCCGGGGAAAATCTTAACCGTTTAGGGGTTTTATTGGGTTAAAGACTGGTTCACTCAACAGAAGTACTCGTGAACTCAAGAAGTATAGGGAATGATCTAACAGAAACCCGTGGCTTGTGTTTACTATTTGTAGCCCAAGCGGGCAGGTTTATTAGATATTAGGCGTTTAAATAATGGTAATGGGACTGAGTGGAGTCCAATTAAGGGTCTGTAATTATAGGAGTGATTAACAAAATCAGACGACCGCGTAGCGGGGATCCGATTTGCTAACACACGAGTATGATTACAGACCGAATTGGACGACACAAAGTAATCATAACAATTACAATTTCCAATAAAACAAATGGATCCCCTTTTGTGAATGAGCTTTTAATACCAATTATCCAAAATTACGAAAAATATCACTGGTAGACACAGTCTAATGTTACGAATTCGTCCATTTTGGAAAAACCCCAGTTTGGTAGGTCAAGTGGTTGTTGCTATGGTTATTATGATATAAATTCCGTGATTGATGGATTTAGCTGAGTGCACTCCATATGATTGGCTGATATAACTGTCGGGTTTACAGGTATTCGATTACAGTCAACTGTTCGATTACACTGTCTGATTTCAACTCCACACAATAATTAGTGAAAAATAATTTTAACGTTTTTTTCAGGATTTTAATAAAGCAGTTAATGCACCAATCAAATTTGAGGAAATTGTAATGGTTGTGGTTCATGAAAGAGAGAATCGTTTATTCTCATAACTGTAACAAACTCCACATAATAATAAGCTAGGCTTCAGGCGAACATATCACCACAGCAGACTATATATCCAGTAGGCCATCCACTGATACATCTAAGCCGCTTAGAGATCAGGGGCCTGTTTCTCGAAAGTCCCGATAATTAACGGGCCCGGTAAGCTGTTACCGTTTACATTAAAGATCGAGGTTTCAATGGTTTTGCATCTAACATGATAAAACTATCAGTTAATGAAACAAAATGGAGTTGTTTCTAGCCAGGACCCGCGCTCTTATTCTTTATGTTTCGATTTGAATAATTGATTTCGGGCCCGAAAAGTTACCGGGACTTTCGAGAAACGGGCCCCTGATCCTTAGTTTGAATCTGACACTCAACAGCCAGGGTGTAATGCGCAGACTCTTGTCAAACAAAAAACCAAAAAATAATTGAAATGATTTTGCTCTATTTTACTATTTCCTATTATTATGGGGCAACTGTCATGAGGGGCGTATTAGACAAGAGGCTTTTATTTGAGAGGGCGTCTATTAGATAATTTACGGCTGCACCGTAATTTTTAGGGAGTTATTATAACTCCAAAAATGGAGTAAAAATTTTAGGTACAGGATAACCCCATTTTTGGGGTTATTTTAACTCCTAATTTAACTCCGAATTTGGGGTCATTTTTACTCCTGAAAGAGAGTTCTTTTTACTCCCACTCTGGAGTTAAAATTACTCCGAAATGGGGTTATTTGTACTCCTTACATGGGTTGTTTTTACTCTTTTTGGAGTTAATTTAACTCTGAAAGTGGAGTAAAAATTTTAGGTACAGGATAACTCCGTTTTTGGGGTTATTTTAACTCCTCAATATCTGGGGTCACTTTTACTCCTGAAAAAGAGTTCTTTAAACTCCTTTTTGGAGTTAAAGTAACTCCACGAAAAATAACTCCACTGTAAGGAGTTAAATTAGCCCCACTAGAGGAGTTATTATAACTCCCTGAAAATTACAGTGTGAAGCTCGTGAATTTTTATACGTCCAACCTAACTGCATCTACCCCTCGTGATAAGAAAAAAGGATCAACATAAAAGCTTGGCAGTTCCTGAAAACGAGGCAAAAACGGCTATTGAAAGAACATTATGGTATTTTAGGAAAAAAAATTTAAAAACCCCGTTTTTTACATGACATGTATTTCTGTATTTAGATGCAACACAACAAGCAAGTCAGAGGAAAACTGAGGTGGTATGCCCAATACCGAAGTATTTTCGCGCCTTTCTGCACGATAGCCGGCGTTTCCGCAGAACACGCACAGTCTTCACGCGTGCGCAGCTTCACGAACTGGAAGAAAGATTTGAACGCGAAAAATATCTGTCTACCCACGGAAGGAAGGACTTTGCACGACAACTAAAACTCACGCCGTTGCAAGTGAAGACGTGGTTTCAGAACCGGCGAATGAAATGGAAAAAGGAAATGTTGAGGAAAGACCCGAATGCTGTAACAACGCGAGCGAAGGGTCGTCCCAAAAAGGACGAATTCTGATTGTATAGATGTAAACAAAGTTTTCATAAAGAAAAAAGTATAAAAAGGAGGCGGGAATTTGCGAGCGCAAAAATAATTCATGCGCGTGTTTACTCGCGTAAGATGCTGCAGTTGTAGTCAACGTTTTGAGGTGTAACTTTTGACGTACCGAAATATAATTTAGTTTAGAATTAAGAAGTTGTAATGTCACGTTATGTCAGTAGAAGCCTTATCTTGTTGTGCTTTTTGTAATAATTGCGTTGATAAGTTTTAAAAGGGTTTTAATTGTACATTTAGGGGCTTTGGGTTTCATTATATTGTTTGAGTTATATTTGCTAATGATGAGGAGAACAGGAAAGTATTGCTCAGTAGATTTCATTTGAACAGCGCAGCCGCGCTTGTTAGAACCAACCTGTCTTGCGTAATTTCTTAAACAGTACCACATGAAAGTAATGCTCAGTAGCCTTGATAACATTTCATCCACAGATTCAAAAACTAGTCTGACTAGAATGGGTAGCAAACTGGAGAAAAGAGCTAAGAACTGAGATGAATAAATGTTAATAACGACATCGGTCTTTTGCAATCTGTTAGTGGGACTAAATGTTGGTTGATTGAGTATAAGAACACATTTATTCTCTCACGGTAGCTCCTGTCAACGAGAAAAGTTTAGTTTTGGTTAGAAAAAATTGATAAATGGAAATAAAGAATATAATACATTTATTTAGCCATGCGTCACTTTCACTGAGGTTCTTCGACGGAATGTTCCTGGCGTTTCGAGCCGGACGCTTTATCTTTGCTTTTTACTGCAAGAGAGCGAGAAAAAGGTTAAATGAAAACTTATTGAAAATTGTACTCGAAATGACGAATTATACCAAACATTATGCAAACACAATCTATCAAAGCCTAACCACGTATAGTGGAAATTTTCCGAAAGTTTGTCTCAAGTTTGTCTGTAAGTTTAGCCAAAACTTTGTCTGAAGATTTGTCCGAAAACCTATTAAATTCTACCATTCTCGTTGCCGTTGCCGTCGCCGTCGCTTAAGCTAACTAATGATTGACAGACAACGTGGTGTACTCACATTTTTCGTATTCAAGTCTTCTGTTAGTACGGCGCATGAGAAAGTTGATAACTCCTTTCTGTTTAGTCACGTGGCATATGTAATCACACATCAGTAGGAAGAACACACAGGCTATAATCACAACGATGATGGGAACGATCTTCATGTCTAAGGATCAATTTAATGAAATCTGTTGTAGTCCTTAAACAGTGAGTGACAATGGAAGAATTCAGTAAGTTTATAGTACAATTCAGTGTAAAAATAATTTTCAATCTCCTTTCTCTTATATGAATCACTCTCTGGATCTTCAAGGTCAACGAAAACGAATACTTTTCTGAATCACTTTCTGAAAAAACCGTGGAATTAATGAGTAAAATCTATGATTGGCTGAGATATTTGGATGAGATATTTTTGACGCCAAAGATTAATCTGTAAGTAGCATGAAAGTTTGCTTTTAATGCGATGAGGCCCAGCTCTTATATGAGGGATGGAGGTCTCGAGGTTATTTTCTCCTGTATAAGCGCAAGGGAGACTATTCCAGAAAATGGTCTTGGCCCGCCGGTGATTAGTTTCTTGGCCATGGATTTTATTTTTGGACCAAATTTTGGCCTGTCATGATCATAAGGGAAGAGGAATACAAATTCCGCAAGAAGACAGTGTTTCACCTCTTGGCTTTTCTCCACAGTGTTTTCCGTTCCGACCATCTACAGCATCTGCGATCTTGTGCCCTGATTGGTCCACGCACCAGCACGTGTCCAGATGAATAGAACATTGGATCACGTGATACGCACCGTTTGCATTGCATCGAGGCAGAAATTCGAGTCGCAGTCTTGGGTCACGCGCAACGATGCGGTCTCGTTGACATTGCGTGGAATCTAGAAGATATCATAGTTCGT